TAACGTATACTCTAATACATTTAAATTCAAATGAGTCGGTCCCTGGAACAAGAATACTTTCAGATGGGATAGAGGAATGCACGGCAAATAGAACACCTCCACCGATTCTGTTCAGTCGATCACATCTAAAAATTTGAAATTCGCTGTTTAAAATCTCATTATCAAAAATGTGAGGTTTTAACCAAGTTTTTGTAAATCCAATTATATGGAAATTAAAATTGGAACTGTTCAAATACAAGTCAGTTAATTTTGTATTAAGACCTCTAACATTTTGATAATAAATGCTTAGCGAATTTCTACCAATCAGTTTTTTATATCGGTTGTTGCTTTTGGTAATTTAACAATGTTTTCCTTAGTTTGACTTCTAAGTTTAGGTTTAAATTCGCGTACAAAAGCCCCAGGTGGCCAGAATGAACTATCAAAGATCTTTTTGAATGTTTCAAGAGATACGTCTATTTTAAACGATGATATACTTCTATCATAATTGAAGTTAAATTTACGGATATTGATATCATCGATTTTTAAACGTGACGAAATGTAAGATTTAATGTCCTCCACCAAGGTATCTTTGGCAAGTCTCGAAATAAATATAGACTTTTTAGGTGGAATAACTATCAAATTATTAACTGATGCTACTAAGTTAATAGCAGGAGCCTCTGGAATTGTGAGACACTTATTACTATTAGATAGAGCTTTTGGGGAATTGAGCTCTTTGGAAGTTGACGGCTTATCACCTTGAGGGCAAGGAGAAGAGAGATTTATTAGGTCATTGGGAAGAGACGTTCTTTTCTGTACAGAAGAACTAAGTGTTACTTCATCGGAAGGACGTTTACGCTTAGGAGCAGGTTTAGAGGATTCGTGAGAATCATTCAGGCACTTAAAAGATTTGAACAATTTTTCATAGTGCCTAAATTTTTCAGTGAGGGTTACAAGATCACGACCGATTTCGTTAAAGCCATTGCGTGTCTCCCTATAAACTTTAAATAGATCGATTTCAATAGATCTACAATTTAAACAGGACCAACGCAATCCCTTACAGTCGAAAATAGAATCTAAGATTCTACCTGTCAGTCCAGCACATTTAATATGGGCAAGCCCATCACAAAGCCAGCATGAAACGTAGCGATCTGACTCGCCTTTAATGTTACAATTGGGGAAGTTACAAGACATAATAAACCACAAGAATCAAGATCAAATAAAAGAGTAAGTAGAACAAAATTTAATAGATAAATAATAAATTAGTGTGTTAATAAAATATTAATAATAATAAATTCAATCAAGAACAATTTTTTGTATCAAAGTTTAAAACCAAGACAATTTGAAAAAGCAATATAGCGAGCAGTTTTAGAAGCACTGTAACAAATAAAAAGCTAAACGCGACACAGCTGTGAATAAAGAAGTAAATAAGATAAACAAAGAGAGAAAATAGAATAAAATAAAACAAAATGAAACAAAAAGCTAACTCGGCACCAAAAATTGGAAAGTTTAAACTTTTTAATACTGCACAAAACTTAAGAACATTTAATACTTATCATGAAACTGAGAGTTAAATCACTAAAAATTGTATTAACACGGTAAAAAAAACAATTAAACTTCAAGAATTTTTTAAAATAAAAACACAAATGTACACAGCCAAAAAATTACAGCTTAAGAGCTTGAAGTGTTGCCAATCTATACGATAAAGTATACTAAAGTCAATAGTTAAGTATTTTTAAGAATTTAAGGTAAGTTGTAGCGCCTTGAATGTATTCGTTTACTGATGCGTTTTTAATTGATTATTACAACGGAAAATTGTATTTTTCTTCACCAATCATGTTTTTTCATAGAATCATTGTAAAAAAAAAATTGGCACCAAATAAAAAAAGGTTTGGTAAAAATCTTTCAAACCAAAGAAAGTTAAGTAAAAAAAAGCAAATGAAACAGCTTAGGAATGTAAGCTCCCTTGAGTAAAATTGTAACAGAATATCTACAAGAAGAAATATGGAAACTGAAGATGAGCAAAATCGTGACAAAGAATCTTCATCACGAGCTACCGAGACAATCTAAAAACGTACGCAAAGACTTGATGCCAATCGTAATAAATTTAAAACTTCGCGTTCGGCGTTCAACTACAATAAGGATGATGATTACAGAAGTCACAAGAACGTAGTGATCGGTGCAATGAACAAGGTTTGTTCACATTGTGGTGCTTTGAAGTTCGCGAAAGAATCCCCTGGAATGTGCTGTTCGAACGGTAAAGTTGTTGTGTCACCATTGATGAAGCCACCTGAACCATTTCTTAGTTATATTTCTATGCGCATACCAACTTCCAAACTTTTTGTCAAAACATCCGAAAGTATAATTCATACTTCCAAATGACGTCCTTTGGAGCAACCAACATAGTAAGCAATGCCTGTTACATGCCCACTTTTAAAGTGCAAGATGTAAACCACAGAATTGGATCATTGCTTCCAGTTCAAGATGAGGATACCAAGTTTTTAGAAGTTTATTTCACCGAGAATGAAGCAGCAGAAGCTGATCAGCGTTGCGCAATCAGTACTCAAGTAAGACGAGAAATCGTCTTAGAACTTCAAACTATGTTTTTTAGGAACACAACAGCCTTATCCGTTCATTCAAAATAGATCTAGACCAGATGCCGACAGATGATTATAAGGTTGTGATAAGAGCAGACAAAACACCACCCGGCCAGCTTAAGCGGCGATTTAATGCACTGGTAAAAGACGACGTTGCAGTGGTTATGTTCGAAACAGAATTCGAGCGACGCGATATCATCATCCATCTCCGAAATGAAAACCTTCGACGCGTTGCGGAAACACACCGATTATATGATGCATTACAGTATCCAGTTATTTTTCCACGTGGCGAAGATTGCTACCATTTCAATGTAATGCAAGTAAATTTAAATGTAAATAATGAGTCTACAAAAAAAGTTTCTTGCACGAACTTTTATGCCTACCATCTTATGATTCGACAAGATGAAATTAATCTTTTGTGAAATGCCATGAACTAGTACATTAATTCATGGTCGCATTTACGCAAAAACTGAAAGTGAACGTCTTCGCTTTATTCTGTTGAATCAACGGAAGCCTAGCGCCGAGGAATATATTTACTTACGTGATGCGATTAATAATGATGGAAATCCTGCAAATATTAGCCAGCAACGTATACCGGTAGTCCTCGACATATGAACGAGTATGCCCAAGATGCATGGAATGAAATTATTGACATATTAGACCCCGATCAAAATTCAACACATAGACATGATCTCCTTGCACGAATTTTGAAACAAAATTTACGAAGTTTATACATTTAATCACCAAAAATAATGTATATGGCGATTCAATGTTGGATGTATTCGGCTAAAACAAAAAGTTTTACCATCGAAAATCGATGATGTGATTTCCGCCGAGCTACCAAATCTCATAGAAGATCTAATTCTATTTGAAACAGAACGGAAGCACATGATCCACGAGTCTTGCGGTGTACTTAACCTGAATTCCCCATGTTTGAAAGATGGTAAGTGTAAAAAGCGATATCCACGTGAGCTGATCCATGAAACTCAAACATCTCAGTAAAGTCCATCAAATATATTTGCAAATACGTCAACAAAGACAGTGACATGGCAGTATTTGGGCTTGCTAATAAAACTGAAGAAATTGAACAATTCCAGATGGGACACTATATCAGCAGGAATGAAGCAGTCTGGAGAATATTTTCATTTAGTATTCATGACCGATTTCCAACTTTTCAACATTTAGCTGTTCGTTTGGAAAATGGTCAGCAAGTCTACTTCACCGAGAAAATTGCGGAAGCTAAAGCTGCGCAACCACCGTACACTACTCTCCCCGCTTTCTGCGAGTTGTTTTCAACCGACGATTTCGCCAAGACCTAATTATATCCTGACGTTCCTAAATATTACACATAGAATACGTCTCAAAAAAAGTTTATGAGGAGAAAGAATGGCGCAACTGTTTCAGAATAACGTGTGTTCTTCTCATGCTCTGGGGCGTGTTTATACAGTCGTGTATATTCATCCCAATAATGCAGAATGTTGTTATTATATTTAAGATTGTTATTGCATACAATTTAAGGCCTAACTACATTTACCGCGTGATCAGCATTGGAATGCAACATTAACTGAAGCATCACTTACGAATTATCCAAAACAAATTCGAAATTTTATTTGCAATCACTTTAACAACATGCGCGCCGTCGAATCCAAGAGAGCTGTGGAAAACGCGTCGTGAAAGTCTCAGTGAAGATATTCTTAGGCAATCGCGTGTAACTGATCCTAACCAAGAGTACTCTGACGATATTTTCAACCAAACTTTACTACTGATTGAGGATATATGCTTATCAATTAATAACAAAGTTATTAGTCAACGTGGAATGCCAGCATTGATAAGAACCAAACGCAATATTTATGACAGTTATCTCACGAGAGAGCTCTACGATGTGCAGCAGTTACAACATTATGTGGATACTCATGTAAAACTACTGATGCCGGACCAAAAAAATGCTTATGATAAAATCATGCAGCTTGTAACAAACGAGATAGACGGAATCTTTTTTGCAACAGGGGGGACAGGCAAAATATACCTGATTATCAGGCATTGCATCAACGCTCTTGGATGGTGGACGCACTGCACATTCAGCACTCAAACTTCCCTTATATTTAAACCTAACAGAAACACGAACTTGCAAAATGTTGGCAAAAATTTTGGTATGGGTGTAGTCCTCAAAACGTGTAAAATTATTATTTGGGATGGATGTACAATGGCTCATAAAAAATCACTCGAAGCGCTTAAAAAAATCCTGCGCAATTTTCGAGGATATTACCAACCAATGGTAGGTGCTCTTATTCTTTTTGCCGGTTATCCCGCGTTCAACGCCCGCAGATGAGCTGAACGCTTGCCTGAAATCTTCATATCTTTGGAGAAAAGTCGAGAAAATCACACTATCAACGAACATGCGTCTTTTTTTACAGCAAGACTCAAATATTTTCGCAACAACTTTTAGACATAGAGAAGGGCAAAATTCTAATTGATCCTGCCACAAACGAGATTTCTTTTCACAGGATTTTTGTCACATGCAACATATTCAAGCTTTTTTCGACAAAGTATTTCCAAATTTAACAATTAATTACAAAAATCAAATTGACTTTATGAACGCAAAATTTTAGCACCAAAACTTTAACAAACTCAATGATCAAATTCAATTGAAACTTCCCGGCGAAGAAATCAACTATAAGTCAATCGGCACGGTAATGGACGAAGAACAAGCTGTTAATTATCCAGTTAAGTTTTTAAACTCATTAGGGCCACCTGGAATACCGCCACACACACTAAAATTGAAAATTGGATCACCCTTAATGTTCATTCCCAATTTAAACGCAACTAAATTCTGCAACCGTAAATTCAAAGGCGTACTGATTCCAGGAATACCGATGATTTCCAACGATTTACCGTTCGAGTTTAAGCGGCTCCAATTCCCTTTGCGTCTTGCTTTTGCAAAAACTAGCAACAAAGCTCAAGGTCAGTCGTTGACTATCGCCGATTTAAATTTGGAGAATTCGTGTTTTTCACACGGCCAATTATAGTATGTTGCTTGCTCCCGAGTCGGCACATCTAAAAACTTATACGTTTATACTCCAAATGAAAAAACGAAAAATGTAGTCTACCCACTGACCTTAAGATGAGTTTTAACGAACTAATGATTCTGCTTTGTGAAAATGGTCATTGCTCATATTGTTTATATTTATAATTACTAGCTTTTTGTTCTATTAATTTAATTTATCTTTGCTGTTTTTATTCATAAATTGAAACAAAAGTCTTCTATCTGTCATTTACATTTGATGAAATTATTTTAACTGGTTTTAAGTAACTATCAAAGTACTTTATCTTATTTATATCGTTTATATTATATTTATCACGTATATATTATATTATTTTAGTTCTTTAAAAAAAAAATTACATTTTATATTTTATTGTTCCGATGCCCGATATTCATATCAATGATAAGAATGATATTCTATTTACTAACATGCATATGGGTGTAGGTAATAATCTTCACCCGCTCAAGAAGAGAATAGAAAAAATGAATAGGAAGATAATTTAATATATTTAAGAGATGAATTAAATATTTAATGTTGTAATTTTGTTGGTTAAGAAAAATAAAGCAAAATCTAGCCCGGCGATAGTGTTTTGCTTCCAGCGTTATTATTTCTTCATCAGCCTCAACAATTTCTAAATTATTTCTGTTTTGCAATGGCGTGATTAACTCGGTAGGTAAATATGTTTTAGCTACTTGAATTGAAGTGTGATTCAGGCAGGTTCTGTAATTCACTTCCGAGTAATTTTCAAGCAAATTCACTTTCAATCCGACACTTGGTGTACTATCTTTCCCTTTCACTATTTAGTTTCTACATTTTTTAACATTGATTACCTCATAAAGGTAATTTATATGTAATCTTAATTATTTTAAAGTTTTTTACCGAAATTTTTATACACATGTATATAAATATATTTATTTATTTAACAGCAGTTATTCAATATACATACATTTCATTTGTTCGTAACTAGTCTTACTCTTATTTTATTACATTCTCCTCAGAAACTTCTATCAGAATTATAATGGTATTCTAATGTCTTTTGATTTAGAAAAAAAGGAAGAAAAAGTAATAGCATTAACATGGGAAGGATCCACGTTTGAAACTGCCTATTCAATTTATGTACCCGCAGATGTTATTGAATATTCTACAGCAAGCAGGGAACTAATGTTTTTTCTTGAAGTCCCTGTAGACAATATACATACATATGTTAAAGTCTCTAACAATTATGACATTTTGATTGCACAACTCAGTAGTAAGAACTTCATGAAGTTCTGCAAATTTGATGTGATGATGTTCGGGAAATTATAAAATTGAAACTTGTTGTTAGAGCTGTAGTTGTGTTTAATTCCATCAGTTTTCTAATTACTGGATATTATTCAGAAAATTTTTTAGGGAAAATAAAATTACCTATAATAAAGAGACCTTATGCAGTAGTAAATCGACTGCAGGCAATATAGGTATATCGATCTCTATGCATTCTGGGTAGAGTATGAACTACAACTTTGCTGTATGTTGCACCCTCACTTTTGTGAATAGTTATTCCCTCAGCTGAAACAACTTGAAATTGCTTTTTTTCAATTGAAATTTGTTCATTTCTTTTATATTGAAAAGATCTCAGAACTTACTTAATTGGTGTCCAGGAATTTTCTAGAGGATGGGGCTTCTTTTAATATAATATCAAACCAACAGAAGGTTCCAAGAATTTAATCCACATAGTTGCTGAAAAAGAACAATGGAAATCAATTTGCATAAGTTGTCCAGTTACCTTATTAACTAAGCCATCACACGTGTAATATCCACCTATCTCCAACAGGTGATCACCAAACATTTCGAGTATAATCGGTATGCCAGCGAAGGGCCTGTCTGTTTTTATACTCTCGCAACCTGTTGCTACAGAGTATAATAGTTTTGTTCACCTAACGGTTGTTTGTATCACCTAAAACTAATCGAGTTAGATATAGGGTTATATATATATAAATGATCAGGATGAAGAGATGAGTTGAAATCCGGGTGACTGTCTGTCCGTCCGTGCAAGCTCTAACTTGAGTAAAAATTGAGATATCTTTATGAAACTTGGTAGACATGTTTCTTGGTACCGTGAGACGGTTGGTATTGCAGATGGGCGTAATCGGACCACTGCCACGCCCACAAAACGCCATTAATCAAAAACAAATAACTTGCCATAACTAAGCTCCGCAATAAGATACAAGACTGTTATTTGGTACACAGGATCACATTAAGGAGGGGCATCTGCAGTTAAAACTTTTTTTTTAAAAGTGGGCGTGGTCCCGCCTCTAATAGGTTCAATGTGCATATCTCCTAAACCGCTAATGCTATAATAACACAATTCACTAGAAGCAAATGTTTTTAGCACTTCTATTGACGGTGTGAAAATAGTTGAAATCGGGTGGCAACTCCGCCCACTCCCCATATAACGGTACTGTTAAAAACTACTAAAAGCGCGATAAATCAAGCACTAAACACGCCAGAGACATTAAATTTTATCTCTGAGATGGTATAAATTGGCTTTATAGGAACCGCGTTCAAAATTAGTCAGTGGGCGGGGCACAGCCCACTTTTATTTCAACCAAATTCGGTGCATAACGTTCTTTTCATGTTTCTATGTCATAGTGCGAAAATGGGCGAAATCGGACTACAACCACGCTTACTTCCCATGTAACACCATTTTCAATTCCATCTGATTCTTTCACTTTCCACTATGCAGGTAACAATGATTATATCGTGGTAAAACTTTGCGTGAATAATACGTTTAAAGTATGCCACCTTGCGGCCAAAAATTGTCTAAATCGAACCAAAACTGTTCAAACCCCTAAGTACTAAATATGTGGACCCCAGTGCCTATAGTTGACCTTCTACTGAAAATATCAGTCAATCCACAAAGAAATCTCAAACGAGTATACCATTTGACTTTGCGAAAGTATAAAATGTTCGGTTACATCCGAACTTAGCCCTTCCTTACTTGTTAACATTTGTTTTAATCTTGCATCAACAGTGCTAAACATACGATTATGATTAGTTTTAAATCGTTAAGCCCGGAATATAATGAATAAACTATGTCATTGCTAAGTGGCCTCAACTCCCTATTCAAATGGTTAGGTGTCGGTCCTCCCGTTCTGAATGTAAAATAAATGCTGCTTTACCTGTGGTGCGCAAAGAAGAACTTTTAAGGAACTAGGATTGAACCAAGGTGTAGAATTGAAATGATGGATAAAGGCTTGATATATTGCAGATATCAAACGACTCTCAATCGAATTATACACGGTTTGGTACGCCTTTTAACAAAATCGCTACCATCTCTAAAGTACATGACAACCCCGCTTTCTGGTAAATTATCATCTTCAACTCTTTTTTATGATCACTGTCTTGTGCTCTTCGTTTTAAAATCAGTTAAGTAAAGAGTTTCTAACTGAACTGGCCGCTAAACATAGCGGTCTAAAATACCAGCTACGAATATTTCAGTCGAATCTGAAGGAAGGTTCTGAAGTTCCGCTCTAGGTTTAACTATTCGAAGATAAGCATTTATAAAAAGAAATTTTCTTATTTAGGAAAAAGTGTGGTTTTGATAAGCTTGATCTCCAAGCCAACAAATCGTCATCAAAATACATATTTATTTTACTATCAGACAGGAAAAGTTCAAAATCATTTAAATTCGGAACGTCTTCTGTAGTAAGATTTAAATTTAAAACATTTTCAATGTGGAAAACTTTTCTTTTAACCTTTCTAAATTTTAAATTGTTTCTATAAGAGGTAACAATATTTGCGTTGAAGGCATTGGTTGATATGGTATATCAAAACGACAAAATTGTTGCCCTCTTATTTCTCTGGTAGAAGACCGACTGTGGTTATGCTTTTGATAACCCAAATTTTTTTCCTAGTGGCTTACTAAACCATCTGTAGAAATATAATTTGAAATGAAATTAATGACATCTAACAATGTCTGACGATCTTCAAGGCTGCTTCTGGGTGCATTATTAAGCCCATACATGTCATATACATGCTGAAAACCTTTTTATTGAATTTGTATACGTTTATATGCAATCATATGTTTTGATATGAAATTCCCTTATACAAGGTGCGTTCCAAAGTAAACAGTAAAAAAGTAACAAAGTAAACTCTAGTGGCGCCTTCTATATGTCGACTAGTGCGTTAGAATCTGATATTTATTTATTTATTTATTCCAGGATACAAAGTACATATTACATACAAAGTATGCACCTATAGAGGTGTTACAAAACACCTGTACATAGGCCTGGTAATATTAGTTTATTATAATTAAGTACTAATCTATTAATAACAATGGCATTTATAATGAAAAACAAAAGAAAACATAGTATTTTTATGTATTAGTGTCTACAATCCACTCAGTTATTTTCTTTTTGCTTGCTTTATTTTTAATATTTAACAACTTTAGACTCAGCGGTAACATATTGTAGTATTTAATTGCTATATATTTCGAGTCTATGTAAGATATATTTTTATTAATCTTTGGTAACTGTAACGGTTTAGGTCTAGCCTTACCTTTATATTCATTAAATACCTCTCTACAATCGGAATAATGATAATATAGTGACTCAGAAATGAATTTCTTTTTAATACTCAGTACGGGTGTTCTCTCGTTTTTATCCCATAAATGATTAATTAATTTATCTTGTATTTTTATTAACAATTTTGTAACATTCTTATAACTACCTCCCCAGGCAATAATTCCATAGTTGACTATACTATCAAATAATGCGTAATAAATTGTTTTTAGTGCTTTCTTGTTCATTATATTTTTAAACTTTGAGAATATAAATAGAAAATATCTAGTTTTTTTTATGACTTCTTTGATATGAATATCCCATCTCATATGACTATCAAAATATACACCTAAGTATTTACTATTATCAGTTCTTTTAATGGTCTTATCATAAATTTTTAACTCCAAACTTTCTGGAATACTGTCTTTATATGAACCGAAAGTTATGTAGTTAGTTTTTCCAACATTTAGAGTTAAGTAATTATTACACATCCAATTCTCTATTAAACTTAACTGCACATTCATTTGTGATTCAGCTTCCGCCCAAGATTTACCTACACATTTAACTATTGTATCATCTGCATAAGCTGCTAAACAGTTTTCAGATAGTTCCTTAAAGATATCATTTACATATAGAAGAAAAAGCAGTGGTCCCAAGATTGTACCTTGCGGCACCCCTATTTGAACTTTACATGATTTGCTTTTACCCCGTTAACTTTAACT